CTATATATCTATATATAATATCTGCACATGTATATGAATTATACTCATTTTGTCGTACCTATAATTTGTACATCAGGGGTTTGGGACAAATACACCGAGCTGCCCTGGGAGCCGAAAGCCCCCGGGTTCACAACCGATAACATGCTTGGCGGCAAACATGGTGTGTCTGAATGCCGTGGCCTATTGTTATATTAGGAAACCCTGAATCCCAATTTCTTATACCCTAAAACAAAACACCCTGCAGCATGCAAGTAGTCTGTGTGTGCGTGTCTTGCATGCGGCCCATTGGCTGTGTTGTATATGTTGTGTACTTTTTATTTATTTATTGATGTATTGTGTACATTTGCGTGTTTGTGTGGGGTCCGGTTGGTGTGTTTATTAGCGAATTTAGGTCATAGTGCGGGTTTAGGGTTTTTAGGGTTTAGGGTTAGGCGAGCCTTTGTTTGTGTGTGTATTTAGGCGTGGGCTTTCCAACAGTGTGTGTGTGTGTGGCTGCGCTTATTAGCTTGACTGTGACTCTGTGTAGTTAATGTGTTGAGCAGTGCCTCTCATTCGCCGCATTCGCCTGAGTGCTCATACCACTCACACTCGCAAGTATCGGTGTAGATGTCCACTGGTAAGCTACCAGCATATCACAGCTTCATAAACCCTAAACCCCGAAAGCCTACTCACCATGCTCCACAGTCGCCATTGTACTAAGAACAGACCACCCCAATCAACCCTACACTCTAAAACCCTAAAACCCTAAACCTCAAACCTTTCTCTCTATGCTCCACAGTCACCATTCCGGCAGTAGGGTTTGTCATAAACCTGGCTGATCCGAAGAATAAATCTCTTGAAATCGACAAAGACCATGGCAGTGACGGTTCAGTACGCAAACGCGCGTCAGTGCGACGGCTGGTGGACCTTCTCGATGCTCGTGTGGCTGTGGAGGTACGTGTTAACTGGCGAGTGGCTAAGGGGTCGTGTGCCAGTGTAGCTGGATTTAGGGTGTGTGTATGTGAGTGTACAGGAATAACGAGATGTTTTTTTTCAAATTGAACAGAATTTCAGATTCATCGGTGCTCTGGGCATTAGTTTCTCACATGCTGTCTATAAATCTGAATATACTGCGCATGGATCTAGAAGTGTTATATAT